GAAAATTTGGGACCCCACTGAGTTACAGGATGTTACAGTACAGGTTTTTTGATGAACTGAGTCCTCACTGACTTTCAAATGGCTCCATGTACAAAAGAGAATTTAGGCATAAATCTTTCCTGCTGCCTGTCACCCTCTCAACAGTTAACTCCCAACCAACCTCTTAAAGCCCCTACTAAGTGTCTTTTGATGACACTGCATATCTTCAACTTTGAAAGGAACTCCTCAGTGCTCTGCAGCTATAGAGAATGGAAAGGCTCCCACAAAAAGGTAATGTGGATAAACCTCAAGTGGAATCAATCTAAAGTGTTTCGTAATTTTCCAAAATAATAAAATGGTAGAAATACTGATAAAACTTAGTTAAAACAGTTGATAAATTGCTCCAAAATTTTTATGTATTATCTTGTTATAGAGAGATTTTGTAATTATTTAGAACAAGGAGCTACATCACACTGTTGTATTGATCATGATGACTTGATATTCAGAAATCACCTCATTAGACATAAGGAAACATTATTAGATGAATATTAGGCCACTATGTGTCCATTTCTAACATCTGCCCCAAAATTACAAGTCAAAATTATCTCATTTATTTTAATATGGTGTTGAACTCTGATGGTTGGGTCAATTCATTCTTTAGCTTGCATGCTGGTCTACTTGAAAAATATCTAAGACCTACCTATGGCTCCTCTTGAATAAATGCATCCAATACTAGTCAGATAAAAACTTTCTCTAGTAGGAATTTTGGTATTCAGAAAAGTGTGTATAACTTCTGGCTGCAATTTCATGAGATTAGATTAATATTTTATCAGTAGTAAATAATTTTTGAAAGATTCTGATCTTTTGCATATACATATCTCAAAATGTCTTTTAGGTAAGTATTCCTGTCTCAGCCTCCCCAGTGTCAGGATTACAAGTGTGTGCCACCATGCCCAGTTTCAGTCACCAGCATGGCGACTGAAATACTTACCTAAATCCCATTAATACTTTTGGGAGATTTCATGAATGATAAGCACTTTTCCACTTCTAAGGTTCATCATTTTAAAAAGCCAAGCCATCAGAAGACAAGGTATTACAGTCCTTCACCCAAACTGAGAGCAGCACTGCTGTTACTGCATCTTACACCCTGAGAGTTTCCTATGGTCTGGCAAGCTTTTCAGAGACTCCTGAATACACATCTGGTGCAGAGGAGAGGGAAGACAGAATGATTCTAGAAGAAAGACTCCGATGAAACAGATTATTCCACTGTCACCTGTAAGAAAACTGCTCAACACCACATTTTCCTTTTAGGAAGATACATGTAGAGAATTTCCTGTAATGCTCAGCTTTAGGCGATCAGAGAAAGTCTCATGTCAAGTTTCTTGCAAATATTTTAGCTACACTTTTACCACAATGAAGTCTCGCACCTATGTATCAATTTTTTATTCATATCTTATTAAAATATTTTGTTTTATATGTACCTTACATCATACTTTTTTTACATTTATCATATTACATACATCTTTAGAATATAAAAAGTAGGTATTTTCTCCTTAACTCAAGAGAGACCATAGTTAATGATTATAAATGCACATAAAGATATAATGTAGCTTCTCAAATTAAATTAAACTATGTATATGGGACACAAAATCATGTATTTACTTGGAAGCAAGAAGATGTCAATTCAATATATATCTTCATTTTTTTTTCAGGCTTTTGCTTTAAAATTACTTAAAATGTGCTCAGGGGCTTGGGAGATAGCTCAGCAGTCTAAGTGTCTGCTTGGCAAGCACAAGGACCCAGGTTTGATCCCCAGTACTGCAAGCCAAGCCAGGCATGCCATGCTGGTGACTAAAACTGGGCGTGGTGGCACACGCTTGTAATCCCAACACTGGGGAGGCTGAGACAGGAAGATCACTATGAGTCTGAGCTTCATAAAGAGACTCTGTACCAAATAAATAAATAAAATGGATTTTAAAAGATATGTCCAATATCATATAATTTCTTAACATGTTTTAACAGATTTAACTATTTCTCTGACTTTCTACTATCAAATAAATACAGAATTCCTTGTATGGGGGGCTTATCAACAAACTAAATGCTTTATATTCAGTGTGAAAAATTCAATCACAATTGTCAAAGATCAAGCTGCCACTTTTGATAACAAACATGATGAAATATCATCTTGCTCAATATATGCTTTCAACTTGGTATGTAGGGCGATAAAAATATGAAGTTGTAATATTTATTTTATTTCTTGCACAACAGAAGGCTCCTAACAGAGATGATCAAAATACCCAATATCATTGCATGAAAATATAATCAACCCAGATAAACTGAATGTCAGACTAAGTGCAGTAAAATAATAACAGCATACATTGCTCTTGTAAGATTTAAAAATTATTGTGCATCAGTGATTGCATCTCATTGAGAAGATATCTATTTTGAACTACAAAATAAATATGAGACACTACATTGTGTCTACTGAAACAAGTTTCATTCATTTGATAGTTCCTTATTGAGTAGTTACTACGTATTGAGCACTGCATTAGGGGATTTCACCTCCTTAATCAGACCTAGTCTGTAAACAGCTCTGCAGAGAAAGCACAGAAAAGGGCATGCAGCCAAGATCTTGGGAGTCAACTATATTTTTGAGATGCAAAATCTAAAATGGAACTGACATTTCGAACTAGGAAACAATCTGCGCTAGAAGCCGCTCTCCAACCTTAGAGCTCCTCTTTTGCTTTGGTTGCACTGCTTTCCTTCTCAGGGAATCCTTAAATCAGCAGCCTTGTACACCTCCACCGTCCTCAGCCTCTCACAATCACCACTCCCTGACAGTGCCCCAGTGTTCTTGGCTTTACCCCTTGCCCTCTATTATTTTACCACAAACATTTCTGCCACTGCTCTTCCTTGGAAGGCCTTCATTTCAAAGTACAGTGAGCTATATAGTAAATATTCAACTGCCTGATAAGTAATTAAATAAGGCAGCTTCAACCTCACATCCTTTAAGATACCGAGATAAACAAGAAGAGAGAATAACAACAAACCCAGAACTTATTCCCTTTTGTACAATCACATCAAACATGTCAGCAGCAGCACCTGTACCGGTTGGCTAAGTTGGAAACTAAGGAATTATCTTTGATCTCTTCTCCTTCCTTATCTTCTTAGTTGATTTCCCCTGTGATTCCCCTATGTCACGCACTACATGTTAGTCAGCCACTGAAAATCATCCCCTATAATCCTCTAACTTAACACTGCGAATGGAACTTTAATGATTGAACTGAGCTCTAGCTATGCTGCCAACATGTACAGCTATTGAGGACTTGGCACATGGCAAATATGACTGTGGTACTAAATTTTTAAAGTTTTCTTTAATTTTTAATGAGTATCAATTTAAACAAACATGTTATTGGCAACATTACTGGCCAAAGCAGCTTAACCTTTGATGGTAGGATTATCTTCCTACAAAATATCTGATCAGATAACTTGCATTGCAGAACTAGTATGTCTGCATAAAACCTTCACCATTAGCCTGACATTCAAGATGCTTCACTGTCTAAACCAACTTACCAACCCCCAGGGCTATTTCCCCCAACTCTTGTTTGATGTAGTCACCAATGGTACTAGACAACTTGGGGTACTAACCAATGCACACAGTAAGCCTTTATGAGAACAACTTTCTCCTGCTTAGAATGCCTTTTCCTCCATGGCACACAGACCCAATTTCTATTCTTCTCTGAATATTTAGCTGCCCTCTGGCCTCAGAAATAGTATGGCTGCCATACTATTTGTACAGCTTCATTAAAACGTTTAGTCAAAATTAATGGTTTATGTGTAAAAACTGAGTTGTGTGTATGCCAGGTAAAAATTAATCACCTACATTAGAGATGATCTGATAAAGCATTTGGAACAGGATTTCACCCTGAGTAAGCACTCAATAGATGTGCAGAATCTGCAAGATCTTTTAGGAATTATGTTAGCCATAACAGAGGTCTTAATCAAATACAGAAGTCTATGAAAACAAAAAAAGGAAAATAAAAAAATAGAAAGGGAAGAGGGGGAAGCACAAAGACTGATACCAATGGAAGGCTTAGACCAGGAAAACTGAGTGAGAAAATTCATGCAATCCCCAAAGGAATAACTATTCAGTAAACCTACAGCTGACACTGAACTTTTTTCTCACCTTCCCTACCAATAGCAATAATCAAATTCCTTAATCAGTGAGTTTAGATGTTACAAGGTCAAGAACAAGAGAAAGCTCTTCTTGTGATGTGTAACTGAGGAGAATTTGTTGTAACAAGATCAATAAAGCACTATTACTATGGTCCACTCCTCAGGAAGGGCTCTGTTACATGAAACGCTGAATATATTTGCTGTAAAAAAATTCAACTTATGGAAGAGAACTCACAAAGAAAAACATTCTCTAAACTTATTAAATGTTTAGCCATCTAAAATTATAGTTATATGCAAACATTTTCAAATTATTAATGATATCTGAGGTATGTTTACTAATTATTTTCCCTTTACATAAAGCTGTCTTATTTTTCTCTCTTCATTTCTTCCAAAGAACAATACACAGAAATATTTGTATAGATAAAAGTAAAAATTCAGGCAATCCTTAATCAATACTCAATATATACCATTATATACAGATGTCTGAACTCAATAAATATTATGTTTAAATAATATTTTAATGCTCCATCATGTTGCTCTGAGAAAGCATAAGTTTGTGATATAATTTTACTATTAAACAAAATCATTCTGCTGGAATTTTAGAGCAGAGAAAATTAATATTTGGATTTAGTTCAGAGGTTGAGTAAATTAGCTCAGTTCAGTCTGGGTTTGAGTTCATGGTTCAGTTCAAGTTCTTGATAATGAGCATATCAAAATAAAAATATTCAAATAACGTAATCAGGGATGACATTTAAGACTAACTGTTCAGGCAAATATGTGTCTTTAAAAAAATAAAAAAAATAAAAAAAAATAAAAAAAAAAAAAAACCAGAAATCCAAACTCACTTTACAGAGAGAGCTAAGGTTAAATCCGAAGGTTTGAGCATTCCGGGAGCCAGCATTCATGTAGTTTCCCATTAGCAATACAAGTTCCAGCAACTTGCTAAAGCTTTTGCTCTTCTTTATCTCTTCGCAGGCAGTACTGACAGCCATGATGTCAGGTTTGATGTTGTTCACCTGCTCTTCAAACTGAAGCTTAAAGAGAATAGCACTGAGCCGTGGCCGTAGTCTCTTCACATTGCTCATCTGATTGAAAAGAAAATAGCAGATTTCCTTTAAAATGCATGGTATACTTTAGTACTGTATGACTGCAAGTAATCTGGGATGATTTATTGGTATGACAGTGCCGGAGAAGCAATATGTCCCCTGAAACTGATGGCAGGAATAGAGAAAATCCTGCTTGTTTTTGTAAGAAATCCAGAGTCCTCCCTCAAAAACAAAATTAACAATTTAGATGTGCAATAAAAAGAAAGCTTTAATGAAACAATAAAGTTTAATAAATGCTTTTTTAAAAAAATCTAAAGTTTAAAGAGAAAATAAGATATATAAGCAACATATTATAAAGTATGCATATCACTACTCTAAATAATCCTGTTCAACACTGAAATATACCAGGTCATGTTTAAAACATGCTCAGAAAGGTCTAAAGAGGGTTTGTTTTCTTCAAATAGCAATTGCTGTCCTCAGAAGCCCTGCTGACTAACAGTGTGTGTTAGAGGGAGAGTAAATAGGGCCCAATTTGTACTAAATTGACTTTCTTCAGAAACACAGAAAGCAGAATGACTCCTGACACCTACTAAATTAGCAGAATCAGAGTTGGGAAACATGGGAGCGAGGAAGATAGAAGTAGGACAAAGCCACAGGTCTTTTCCATGCTAAGAAAACCCTGTTTGGGACTCCAGATTTCTCTGGTGAGAATGAAGGGCCTAGAAGTGTCAAAAAGAACAAAGGACCATGTTCTTGCCAATCTTTACACATATTGTCTCTGTTCTCTCAGCACATGCAAGGAGAATGAATAATCACTTGCTACAGATTTGAGACATACTGTCTTTGGGTAATTTAGGAACTCCTTCACCAAATGCATTTGAAATGTGATTCTTAAATTCTACTAATGGGACACTGATAGCAAAATTTTTGAAGTTCAGCTATTATGTAATCAAGAGTATTAGGAAAAATCCCAACAAAAATGACAGAATACAACAAGATTAAAATAGAGACTAATACTCTTTGCCACTAATCTGAAAGAAAAGATAAATGTTATCTGAAGCTTGTAGTATGCCAGATATAACAAAAGTCATGATTGTTCAAAAGACACAGTTATGGGTACTAATACAATAACTATTATCATATAATATTTATCATATAGTATACAAAACCTTATTATGACAACAGTAGAAATATCCTTAATGACAATATAACCCAGCCTACCAATCTTAGAAAAACTGAGCAATAAGGAATTAACTCAGTAGACACCTAAAAACATCATTTAGGTGAACCTAATCCTTACAGTGACTGAAATGTTTCATTAGCAAATAATATAAAGGTATCACCTAACACTCAGTCCATCCTTGTGACATGTTAAGTATATACATACAAGAAAAAAGCTAACACTCTGCTAACATAGTTAATAAATAAGTGCACTCAGCAACACACTTTAATGCCCTCAAATTCTTTCATTTCAAAAAGTATCTTCACAATTCCCTAAGGAAAATATTTTTTCCTAATAAAAATATTTTTGCTAAATGGTAAAAACACTGTAAAGTGTAAAGATACACTTTGAAAAATCAAGTATTTTCTAATCTTTAAATCATATAAAATTCAAGAAAGATAAAGGGTGGTCTGATTAGCATATCAATTCCCTCTGAGCCTGAGTCCTTTTTATATATTATTTCTCTAATACAAAAAGTAGAGTTAAGTAGCAACTACTTCTCATAAAGTCATGTGATTAGTCATAAAACCTACTATATGTCACCAAATGGATTAATGTCCAGAGAATTTAACTTTTTAACATGGCAAATGGTAGATGGCCACAGTATATTGGTAATACAAATAATACTCTATTAAACTTAACATAGCTTCTAGGATAGTGACATATAAAAAAGAGCACCCACACATAGTATCTGTTGTGAGAGCCACTGGAAGCGTGCATAATAGGGAGGCATGGCAGTACACACCAATAATTCAAGCTATTCAGCAGGCTGAGGCAGGAAGACCATAAACTCAAGGCCAACCTGAGCAAGTTAGTCAAAGTTTGGGTTAAAACAAAAGACTGTCTTTGGGGGATGTGGTAAAGCGGCTGCCCAGCATACACAGAGCTCGAAGTTCAATCCTCAGTGTCCTGCCAGGTCCACTAAAGTGCGCAATGGACCCAAGGCATTTGTGTTTTCTAGTCAGGCCCTCATCCCAAATTATGAAAACCAGGTATTTAGCACTTCATAATAAGCATGAAGAGAAATTTTGTAGAAGCCCATGCAAAACATCAGTATTAACAAAATACATTTTCACTCTAACATATATTAATGTATTATTTCATGCAGAAAAAGGAGTAAGAAAAAAGACTGCTTAAATGCCTACATTAAAGCACCTCAAAATATGTTAACACTTTCCTGCTGACAAAGTAACCATATGTAGCCAGCATAAAGTAATTAATTTTCCTAGAAAAATATAACCCAGATTTGTATGAGTAATGAGTCTATTCAGCACTAGGGACAGGCACCTTGAAAAGTTTGTGATGTAATGTAGAACAAACTGCTCTAAGCTTATGAAAACCCTGACAAAGCAAAGAAAGGAAGGATAACCTAAAATCCAAGTTTTGAACAGTGCTGTTTTTTTAATTAGTTTTCCTCTTCATATGGTTCTTTCTTCCAAATTTGGAAAAATTAATACTTTGTTACAAATAAATGGATTTTAATAAGCAAAATTGCTGACCTAGACAAGAATTTGAGAGGTCACCTGGTACTTATTTCAGCCCTTGGTTCACTGTTTAATAATACAATGATCCTCTTATTAAAGTAGGGACAACCCAATTAAACTAATATTCCATCATTAGGGGTCTATAATAAAACTAGAAGGATTCTTTATCTCATTGTTAACTGTAAGTTTGTTTCTTCAGAGGAAATCAAATTTTTTTTTAAAAAATGTAAAAAGGATAAGGACAGCCTTCTCCTTGAAGGACAAGGATAAACAAAAATTTGAACAATGTTTCCTCAGGCCCACAACTTGTCATAGTCAATGAAAACTGCAGATACATATCTTAGTTTTGTGCTAAGAAAGCTAGAACTCTGACTTGGCTGCCAAAGACCAAACTGCGTGCAGAAATGGAGAGGTACACCTCTCAAATAATACTGTGAACAGTAAGAGAAAGAGGAGGAAAGGAGAAAGGGAAGGAAGGAGTAAGGGAGGAAGGAAAAGTGATGCAGGGAGAGAGGGAGGGGGAGACAGAGAGCAGGAGAGTTTTAGGAAACAAAACATGAAAGCAAACTATAACCTAATTGACAATTAGAATAAGAAATTAGAATTTCATTTTTACAGAGGTACACTTTAAGTTCATTGCTATAGAATCTCAGCAATATAAACAAACCCCAGGCTGGGGAGATAGCTCAGTGGTCTAAGTGCCTGCCTGGAAAGCACAAGGCTCTGGGCTCAATCCCCAGTACCACATGGTGTGCTGGACCCATGCCATGCTGGCCCCTGAAACCGGGTGTGGTGGTACACCTCTGTAATCCCAGCTCTGTGAGGAGGCTGAGACAGGAAAACCACTAGAAGTCTGAGCTATATAGCAAGACTGTGTATGGAAGGAAGGAAGGAAGGAAGGAAGGATTTTAAAAATATAAACAACCTCCAAAGCTATGATAACAGTGAAATAAAAACTGAAGAGAAAAAGGCTACTATGATTTCACTATGTTTGAAGGCAGAGAGGTGCTCAGGAAACCCCCACACCTCATCATCCACAGAAATCACATGCAATAGTGGAAAAGCCATAAAAGCAGTGACTACTGAAAACCTAACAAGGTGTAATCTCCAGACCCCCATGCCTAGTTTCTATGTCAGAATGTTTTGTTTTGTTTTGTTTTGTTTTGTTTTGTTTTGTTTTGTTTTGTTTTGCCCAAACATGGGAAAGAACAAGCACACCATAAAATAAAAAGGCTCAGAAAAATCAGTGAATCTACAACTAGAGATTGAGCCTCACTCAGGGATCTGAAAGCCATACATTTCCAGCCCACTTGCTCTAATCCTGCTAGGACAAGTAGAAGAAAAGGTCCCTCCAAAGCCTTAATTTTTCCTAATCTCATGGTTGTTTATCATATATGATTTTTAATTTTATCCATTAGTTTATTGGGGGAAATGTATTTGCCATCTTTACACTAACTGTGGTTAACTATATTGTGTCTAGTTCTCTCCTTATATTTTAATATAAATAAAAGGTTGTCAGGAGTCAGTATATTTAAATCTCGAGCCCCTTCCTTCCCTACTTTAGAGGCTTACAGAAAACTTAAGTACATTCAATATCCTTATTATTTTACCTCAAAGTTATTATAAAAATTAACCACTCATTTACTTCCTAATACCATAGTATAACCTACTGACTGAAATTCCTACTTTCGATCTTAACAGGCTTAATGCTCTAAAGCTTTATAGTTCATACACTTTGTAAATACCTAACAAGAAAAATAATGTAGGTTGTTTCAGGAAAGTTCAATGACTCCTTCAAGGAAAATGTTCAGGGCCATTCTCACCACTCAGCATGGCAGTGTGCAAATTAAAGGCTCCACCTAAAACATCATCTGCATAGACAATGACTGTGAGTCGCGCCTGCTACTTAATCTCAGTGTTTCTTTCACTTTCTGTGTGTCCAACCCCCTCTTCCTATGCTAGAGTCTTAAGACTCTTCTAGACCTGTTTTTGTACTGCTGCCACTCTGCATTCCACTCAAGCTTCCCTATTAACAAATTCTTCAGCTCTCTGAGGAAGAAATATGAAAAGTAAGAAGGAGAAAGAAACAAAGGCATTTTGTAAATGACAAAAGAAAGTCGTGTTATCTAGTAACAGAATGAAGACACTTACAAAAAAGTTTTGAACCTAATTTTTCTAATTATGTGAAAAATATGTCTATCTTCCACTGTCAGCAGGCCAATATGTTCACGATCTCTAGATTTCTCAGAAAGAAATAAAGTTCTTTGCATTTGGAGAAAGGCTTCAAGTGCCTTATGTCTCCGTAGTACTCAAAATATCAAAAATGTTTTTTA